GGGACATGAACCGCGGTTGACTACGAGTGAGTCCAGCGACATAGCCATTACGCTAACTGCTGGTTCCCTTTAATTACATATTTAAAAAAAATTTTTTTTTGAGAGGTTTTTTTGCTATAGGGCGCGTGTGCTCACCAGACAGAGAGAGACAGAGGTTAAAAAACCCTGGCCTCAGGAGCCGGATCTGGAAGCAGCTGAGCAGCAGAGGGGTGTCTGGGATCCAGCTGCTCCCACCTTTGTGACGCCCCTCATTTGTGAACTCCCCCTGCTATTTCAGCTCACACAGCAGGGACCTCCGAGTCCGGCAGGAGCTGCACCACTCCCTCCTCTCTCTCATCCTCCAGGTTGAGAGCAGTGGAAGCCTGCAGAAACTGATCCGCATCCGCAATCCCTGGGGAGAAGTGGAGTGGACCGGGAAGTGGAACGACAAGTGAGGATGCGGGGCCATGGCCTGGGGGGCCCTTGGAAACGGAGAGAGAAGGAGGCGCGGTGCCCTGTGCTGGGAAATAAGGCGCAGTGAGGTGCCCAGGGGCCCTCTCACCAGGACCCCACTCCCAGCATCTGGGTGCCTCCTTCCAGACCCAGGGCTCCTGGGTGCTCATTCCTTTCTCTCCCTCACAGCCCCCATCGCCCCTCAGCTCAAAGTCCCCCTTCTCCTGGGCCTCCAGGGGAAAAACACGTCCCTCCCCTAAGCACTTCTATTCCAATGACAGGGACTGTGTACCAAAGATCAAAGAACCACCTCTAGCTTGCTGGTAACCCTGGTAGGCCTGTTGCTATGGGGAAGTGTTCATTTGGCCTCTCTCACAGTTTACCTCTCGCTCCCTGCAGCCAGCATCCACCATTCTTCCACCTTCTCCCTGGCCCAATCCCAGGCAGCCTTGACCACGGCAGAGACACCTGTCTAGGCTTCTAACAGGTCAGCTGCAGAGGCCAAAATGAGGTGCTCCTCTCGGGTTTTCAGCCGCCCCTGAAAGAACTGCCAGGCTTATCTCAGTCTGGGCAACTGAGGCTGCTTCATCTCTCCCTGATGGGCTGATTTTCTGGCTCTTCCTCACCCTGTCTTCTAGGATAACTTCTTCTCTACATCATTCCTTTATTTGCATCCTCATAGTTTTTGGTTTTTTTTCCTTTATTTTATTTATCATTATAGTTATTTTCAATTTGACCAGAGCGAAACACACACACACACACACACACACACACAGAAAGCCACCAGGTCTGGGACTCAAACTGTGGTCAGCCATGTGGGAGTTCAGCACCCCTAACCACCACACCACCTGCTGGCCCCACATCCTCATAGTGTTTTATATTTAAAAGTATTTAAGTACAGCTCTTAGCCAAATGTGGGTTACTTCCCCCCTTTTTGGGCCTGGGCCCTCAGAAGTGAAGCTGGGTGTCCCTGTTCTTCAACTTTGGGGAGCCCTGGGGAGAAGCCAGCACCCTACCTAATGCCTCTTCCAATGCTTTGTTCTCCAGCTGCCCAAGTTGGAACACGATAGACCCAGAGGAGAGGGAGAGGCTGACCAGACGGCATGAAGACGGGGAATTCTGGTAAGATCATTAGAGGCTTCAGGGAAAGACGTGTCTGCTCCAACATTCTGTACTTAAAAAGTGCCAGCTAGAGGACCAGCAGATGGCATAATTGTTATGTTGCTGGACTCCCACATGGCCGACCATGGTTTGAGTCCTAGAACTAGAGACTTAAAACTCATGCCAGCCCCTTGTGCGTAAGTGCCCAAAATTTCGAGAAGAGAATAGGGAAGTGATTGCGGCATGGCGATCCCTGCTGCGGGGTGATGTTTTGCTTTCTGTCTCAGCAAGCACACTCATCCTATAGCAAAAATCTCTCAAAAAAACAAAAACAAAAAACCACTAACCAGAGTGCCAGCCAAAAGGGATTTTCTTGTGTCAAGGGTTCAGGAGCTAGGAAGTGACAGTGCCAGGACTGGAGTTTGCCCCCATTCAGCCCCAAGGAGTTTTTCTGCCTGGCCTTGACTGACTCAGCCTGACCCTGGCAGGTCAAGGCTTACCAACGTGTCTTCTTATGACCTGGGCTGCCTGTCTCTGCTTTTACCAGGATGTCTTTCAATGACTTCCTGAGGCACTATTCCCGCCTGGAGATCTGCAACCTGACCCCCGACACCCTCACCAGTGACTCCTACAAGAAATGGAAACTCACCAAGATGGAGGGGAGCTGGAGGCGGGGCTCCACAGCAGGAGGCTGCAGGAACTACCCAAGTAAGGGCTGCTGCATGTGGGGCCACCTGAGCCCCGTGCCCTTCGCTCTACCCTGATGTGCTGGACCCCAGCCCTGCAGTCCAGGGGAGGCAGCTCTTACTCTCTAGAACCCTCTCTGTCTTCCTTCTCCCTTGGCCTCAGTCTCAACACCCATCTCTGTTTTCTGAGCCCCATTTCCTCCTACATTCTCTTGCTTCCCTGCCCAGGCAGAACCAGGACATGCTGTTCCTGTGATGGCCTTTCCAGGCCCTAGACTCCTGCTTACTCATAACCTCTGCCCTCTGAGGCAGTGCTCGATCCCTCTCCACACCATGAGCTACTTTATCAACCAGACTATCAGCCGAGCCTGCCAGGGACCCTCACCCACTGTGTCCATGGGGCCTCCACACAGCAAGCTTTGTTATGGTCCCTCAACACTCTTGCGTGCCCAGTGTACTCAGCCAGTGTTGGCTGGGCCCTGCTCAGATCAGGTGCGGATTTCTCCTCTGATGTGGCCTTTGCTGATTCGCTCGATACTTGCTTTTCTGGCTCAGTCCTGTCCTACCTTTGCTTCTCAGAACTTACCCATGACGATGTCTGCCAGTTGTGGAGCATTCACTGCTAGGAACTGTCCTGAGGGCCTTCTACATATTTCTCCATTTAATCTCCCCAGCAGACTTTCAGAGCAGGACTCTTCCTATGTTTTTCTCAAAAAAACAAAAACAAAAAACCACTAACCAGAGTGCCAGCCAAAAGGGATTTTCTTGTGTCAAGGGTTCAGGAGCTAGGAAGTGACAGTGCCAGGACTGGAGTTTGCCCCCATTCAGCCCCAAGGAGTTTTTCTGCCTGGCCTTGACTGACTCAGCCTGACCCTGGCAGGTCAAGGCTTACCAACGTGTCTTCTTATGACCTGGGCTGCCTGTCTCTGCTTTTACCAGGATGTCTTTCAATGACTTCCTGAGGCACTATTCCCGCCTGGAGATCTGCAACCTGACCCCCGACACCCTCACCAGTGACTCCTACAAGAAATGGAAACTCACCAAGATGGAGGGGAGCTGGAGGCGGGGCTCCACAGCAGGAGGCTGCAGGAACTACCCAAGTAAGGGCTGCTGCATGTGGGGCCACCTGAGCCCCGTGCCCTTCGCTCTACCCTGATGTGCTGGACCCCAGCCCTGCAGTCCAGGGGAGGCAGCTCTTACTCTCTAGAACCCTCTCTGTCTTCCTTCTCCCTTGGCCTCAGTCTCAACACCCATCTCTGTTTTCTGAGCCCCATTTCCTCCTACATTCTCTTGCTTCCCTGCCCAGGCAGAACCAGGACATGCTGTTCCTGTGATGGCCTTTCCAGGCCCTAGACTCCTGCTTACTCATAACCTCTGCCCTCTGAGGCAGTGCTCGATCCCTCTCCACACCATGAGCTACTTTATCAACCAGACTATCAGCCGAGCCTGCCAGGGACCCTCACCCACTGTGTCCATGGGGCCTCCACACAGCAAGCTTTGTTATGGTCCCTCAACACTCTTGCGTGCCCAGTGTACTCAGCCAGTGTTGGCTGGGCCCTGCTCAGATCAGGTGCGGATTTCTCCTCTGATGTGGCCTTTGCTGATTCGCTCGATACTTGCTTTTCTGGCTCAGTCCTGTCCTACCTTTGCTTCTCAGAACTTACCCATGACGATGTCTGCCAGTTGTGGAGCATTCACTGCTAGGAACTGTCCTGAGGGCCTTCTACATATTTCTCCATTTAATCTCCCCAGCAGACTTTCAGAGCAGGACTCTTCCTATGTTTTCCATCTTTAAGATAAGGGAATGGGGGCTTAGAGAGGTGAGGCGACTTGCCCAAGGCCACCCAGCTTGTTAGATTTGAACCTAGGCAGTCTGACTGTGGAGTCACTCTTTAAGCACTTTGATGGCAGATCATGGTCACAGATTGATTCTCTGTTACAGATGAGGAAACCAAGGCTCCAAGTGGCATACCAGGGCCACGGAGCAAATAAATAGGGACTAGCTGACCGGGACCGCTGGCTCTGCTGCTCTTACTCTGTCACCTCAAGCATACAGCCACCAAGAGGCATTTCCAGAGATGCTGGGAAGGTCCTCTGCCCCCACAAAAATACACCTCCTATCCTCTAGATAAGGAGTAGGCAGACTCTCTAAAGGGCCAGACACTTGTGGCTTTGTGAGTCTTTAGGTTTCTATGGCAACTACCCAATTCTGCTGTAGCCTGAAGGCAGCCATACCTAAATGAGTGGACATGGCTGTGTTCCAATAAAACTTTATGTACAAAAACAGGCAGCAGCCCATGGGGCCATAGTTGGCCAACCCCTGCACTAGACGGTGCCTTTAATTCCACAGTTACACTTTGATCCCATTAGATGTGGGAACGCAGTCAGCATAATTACTCCGAAATTTGAATGAAGCCCAGATTCTTCCTGTAAATGGATTTTTAAAGTACGGAGGCCATAGACACCGTGGGGTGGGCAGGAAGAATGGCCTGAGAGGACAAGGGACACTGAACAAGACGCTGAAATTACACAGGATGCTCCAGGCTTCTGGTTCACAGAGGTCTAGAAGACCCTGAGTCTCCTGGGCCAGGCTGGCGGCCATCTCTGACCTCCACACTGGAACCCAGTGAGAGGAAGGTACCACTAGGGGGCACCCCAGCTCCAACCACCCTGACCTTAAGTAGGGCATTCGGGTTCCCCTGAGGTCACACAAGTGCAGACCATGCTTTCCACAGCGTACGTGATGTGTCCCCCCCACCCCCGACAGGGCTGCCGTCCCCACCTCCACCACCAGCTTGCCTGTGTTTCCTCTGTCCCCCTTGTCTTCACCCCACTCCCAGCAGCCTCCAACCCCAGACTGAGACCCCTCCCCGGTCTCCCTCCTCCACGCCCACCTGCTCAGCGTGGGGGTCCTCTGCCCTCTGGCTGCAGATACTTTCTGGATGAACCCCCAGTACCTGATCAAGCTGGAGGAGGAGGATGAGGACCAGGAGGATGGGGAGAGCGGCTGCACCTTCCTGGTGGGCCTCATCCAGAAGCACCGGCGGCGCCAGAGGAAGATGGGCGAGGACATGCACACCATCGGCTTCGGCATCTACGAGGTGGGCGGGCAGGGCTGGGCACGGCCTTCCTCTCCCTTGCTCATCTCAGCCCGGCATGGGACGCTGGCCCCAGAGGCAGGGCTGGGCTAGGGCTCTGGGGGGGGAGCCGGGCCTGGGAAAAGCAAAGCCATGGGCTTTCCAAGCCCTTCACTGGGTCCCCTCAGCCAGCTCTTTGGGGTGTGGGGGGGTGTCCCTTCTTCCACATGACCTCTACGTCTCTTCTCATGTCCCCCAGCCTGGCATTCTGTTGGCCCACCAGCCTCCAAAGAACAGAGTATACTGGACTACCTCAGGAGGGCCCAGCTGGGCCAAGCCTTGCGGTTGTTGGCCTGGATGGTGGACGCTCAGGCACAGGAGGACAGAGGGTCATTATGCTCACTCAGGGCTCCATGGCCAGAGCCCAATTCTCCACAGAGACAGCCCCACTGTCCACATGTCCTGCTTTTATTCTGACCCAAGTTAAGGAAAAGCCACTCTTGGCTATAGCCAGAGGGCACATTATTGCTGCCTGTCCCCTTCAGGCTGGGGCTGGGCCTTCCTCGCTCCTGCTCTTTTCAATAACACAGAAAAGAGCTCCTCACGCTTTTGGGTTAGCCACGACAGAAGAGCTGAGCAAGGAAGACTTAAGGCAGCCGAAGTGGGGGTGCATTTGGTTGATGAGGGGAACCTAGTGACAAAGTGAGGTAGCTCCTCTTGACTCCTGGATATCTCTCCTTTCAGCCCCGTGTTCGGTGAGGTCACAGCAGCCTGAAAATGGCTATGGGGTGGGGAGTGTTTATACCAGGGAAAATGGCAACCACTAAAAACCAGGGCTTCCAGCCTACCTGAGAGTCGGTGTCCAGCTCACCCACTGGTATGCTGCAGGCGAGGTGCTGGGAGAAGGCCTGTGTGCTCACTCGCCGTGGGCTCTGTGGCCGCCCCCATGGGACACTGTCTTACCCCAACTCTCCTCCCAGGAAATGGAATCGGGTGAACACCATCAGTATGAAAGGGGCCCCTAGCCTCAAGCTCCTCAGTCTCTGAAACAAGCTGGGGACCTCTGATCTGGGCTGAAACAGCTCCAGGGACAACACAAACTAAATTGTGGTGCACGGCCTCCCCACACCATCGCCTAGGCCTGGAAATCCAGCCATTGGCTTCCAGAGCTGGGAAGGACTTGTAGGTCATCTGGTCTGTTTTCAAATAAGAAAAGAGACCAGAGAGGAGAAGTGACTAGCTCAAAGAAACAGACTGCGGTGGCTGATAGGCCCAGCCCTGAGGCCTCTGACCCCTGGCGGTGTGCGCTCCACCTCCAGACTCTTCCTGTGATGGGGCAGTCCACCTTCTGGCTAGGAGGTGGGCCCTGGGCTTTGCCAGCTGGTTGGTGACCTTAGACAAGCGACTTCTCATCTCTCTGTCTGGCTTTTATGCTCTATAAGTTGGGAATGGTGGTGAGAGAAGGCTCCTCCACAGTATTTCTGCGTCAGAATTTTTGGAATGTGGAATGCTAAAGTTCCTTGGAAAACAGCATGCTGATTTACCATGTTGATATTGCAGAGATGAGGGGAAGAGAGGGTGGCAGTGGAGACAAGCACAGTGGTGACACTTCCTCCGCAGCTCCCCTGGATTCTGAACTGTATCTCCTTGGTTTTGCAGGTTCCGGAGGAGGTACGTCTGGCTCACGTTGCCCTCTGTCCTTGGGGCTCAGGTCCATGAGCACTGCCAGAGCTCATGGCGTTTCTGAAGCTTGGACTGGTCGCCATGCTGATGGCTGTGCAGAAGTCGCTGCCCCATGTGGGGCCCTGGTGACGTTGTCTGGGCTCTAGATCCAACTGGTCAAGCTCAGGGCCAGGTACCCCAGGAAGTCCCTGTGGTCTTGCTGCTTCCCGACCTGGCAGCGGCTGTGCAGGGATTAGTGCGGGGCTTAGTTCCAGGAGAGCAAACATGGACCTGGGACTGCAGGAGGCTCTGACAGTAGGCCTGAGGCAGGGAAAAGACAAAGCTGCAGATCGTGCTGTAAGACACAGAGAAGAGGTCTGGATCGAATTCCAGGCTGTGTGACCTCGGACAAGTTACACAGCGTCTCTGCACTTTGGTTTCTTTTCCTGTAGACACGGCCAGCTATTGCCTCATCAGACTTGTAGGGGTGAATTAAATTATGCAAAAGCACTTACAGTTCGCAGTCACCTGGAGGCTTTGCTCCAAGACATACATGACGGTCACTGATTCAGACAGGATGCCCAGTAGCCATGTGACTTTAAAGGTCACAGGGTTTGTTTTTCATTTTTTTTAATTTATTCATGATAGAGCATGTGTGTGCACCAGCTAGAGGTGAGTGCCCTCCACAGGGTCGGGTCTTGCCATGATCCCCTTCCACCATCCTCCAGCCCGTCGGATCCTGGTCACATACACATGTGCCTGATGTGCTTCAGGCTGACTGACCTGGAGTCAAACCATGGCTGGCTTGTGGAATCAGCTTCTCTTGAGCAGTGCGTTACCACTAGCCCATGGAGCTGTCAGCTGTGGCTACTTCAGTGACTGAAGTGACACACAGGGCACTCGGACCCACTGCAGTACGTTCTGTCCATCACAGGGCAGTACAGCTGCTAGCACGCCGGCCTTTGTTAAGAGACGGCCTATGAGTTCCGGCCCGGCTTCTGTCCAGCAGACCACCTTGTTTTAGCTGGGCCCCCTTCTCTGTCCTGGTCCAGCCTTCGCTTTTACTAGTGTGTCATACACTGCATAGCCAGATTCCTGTCGTGTGGACTAACCCCCCTGACTGTCACCTAGAGGATGGCTGAGAACTCCGTGTGAAAAGACGGGAGTGCAGACAAGTTGGGGGGATGGGGCCACCCTGTGATATGTGCCCCTGAGCCCCTCAGCAGGCACTTGTTGGAGTTCGCTTTTTGTTTACAACGATCCAGAGATTCTCACTGTAATCCTTTTATCTAGATGCATGAAAATGACAATTATTTGCTCCCCCCACCCACACACACACACACTCACGTCTCCATGTACTCCTCAGTTAACTGGGCAGACCAACATCCACCTCAGCAAAAACTTCTTCCTGAGGACCCGAGCCAGGGAGCGGTCGGACACCTTCATCAACCTCCGGGAGGTGCTCAACCGCTTCAAGCTGCCTCCGGGAGAATACGTCCTGGTGCCTTCCACCTTCGAACCCAACAAGGACGGGGATTTCTGCGTCCGCGTCTTTTCCGAGAAGAAAGCTGATTACCAGTAGGTCGTTGTCCTTTTCCTCCCACCCCTCTGTCCCTAGACGCTGGCCTGTGGTGTCCCATAGAGAGCCATCACTCCGCTGACTGCCAGGTTCTTTTTCTGGAACACCTGCCTGCCTTGAAGGGTTTGTGTGGGGAATCTGATGTACTAGAGAATCTTTAGTGTGATATTCCAGTAAGCAAAGAAGAAAGCCACTCTGGGGCAGTTGTAGAGAGAGTGAACTAGAGGATCTAATTTCTTAGCTGTATTTGAATTACCAAGTTGTTACTTTAACTTTCACCTGGACGACCTTTATAACACTGTGACCCCAGGTTAATATAGTCCCTGGTATGATCTCCTGGCCACTGGCCAAGGAGAGCCACCC